CAGCGAAGTAGACTATTTGTTAGAATCTAAAAACTGTTTCAGGCTCATACAACTTATGGTCGAGAAAAAAAAACGGTATCAAAAATTTTGAAAAGCTGATTTTATAGATAACGATTAATTTTAACGGCCATAGTGTTTTTTTAAAGTTCAACTATGCCATGCCGCGGTAAAGGATCTCAGTCACTACTGCTGTCAGCTGTTGCAGAATTTCAAAAATGTTTATGGTTTTGTTTCAATAAATTACTAAAAAATCGCATTTTTAGGATTTTGAGGAGCTATATTTTTTAGAATGACAGAGACGGGTGAAAATATCTCTAGAATATTTTTTTTATTTTGAGATTTACTTATATATAAAATTTCCGTTGTCTATCTTAAACGGTGTAGAAATTTCGTATTCAGACACACGGACAGACAAAATGAAACTAATAAGCACTTTTTTCAATTCTTTTTTTTGGAAAATTGATAAAAAGAGGAAGACTAAAAACAAAAACATTCTTAATTCATATAATCATTTTGAATTCTATTAGAAACACGAAATGAAACGATGAAATGTAAAAATTTATAACAATAAAGGATGATATTCACTGCTTCTTTTGAAGGACTTTAAATGTTCCAAATACATTTTGACTTTACAGAAAATTTAAAATTATTTTATTTTTTTATGAATTTATTAAAAATTTGTGGTCATTTTGCTTTTGATATTTAACTTAATAATAAAAGTAAATTTTCCCACCACTGTGAAAGTTTTCTTTTAATTTTTTTTATATAGCCCGTTATCATTCACAATAAGTTACTTATTATTTAAGAATTATTTATTTTGAATAATAATTCTGAAGTTTTTAAGTAAAAATTACGACTTAAAGTTCTTGACTTGTGGTTATGGTTTTTTTCGAAAAATTTTAAAAAATCTTTAAAACTAATATTTTCATTTTTTCTTTGTTTTCAGTTTAATCATTTAATTGGAAAGGATGGGAAAGGAAAAAGTTACTGGGACAATATGAAGTCCAAAATCAACAGGAAATAACCAAAATAATATTACTCGAGGAGAGTTGGTTTTTTTTTAAAATAGCACAATAACAATTTAAATTGAACAATAATTAAATCATGGTTTGTTCTCGGTAAAAAAAAAATTAAAATCTTTCATACAAATAGAATGTATGTGCAATAGGTAGTTCTGTTGAATATAAAAATCGATTTTAAAAAAATTTTCTATTTTAGGATCACATTTAATTTAATTTTTTCTTCAAATGTACATTTTTATTAATTAATTAAGGTTGCATAAGTGCACGTGTGACTTTTTTTTTCTCATCTAATTTTACTTTTTTTTTTTTTTTGAAAATAGTAAAAACTTGTAATGGATGTTAATTAAAAGCAATTATTTTTCATAAATAGCCTTTTATGAAAGAGCAACCTCATATAGAGTTTTTATTTGAGTATTTTTATAAAAAATTTTACATCTTTATAAATGATAAAAAATTTTCCATTCATTTTATGTCCCTATGCGACAAAATAATAAAATGAAATCGATAAATCAATTCTTAGAATAAATTTATGGTTAGTATTCATATAAAACGTATATATTTGTATGAGACACCAAGAAAACAGAAGCTGGAACAAAAAAAAAAATGATTCAGCGAGTGTTATTCAAAATTATCATTTCCAAATTGATCACTTTTTTAATATCGATTTGTCCTAATATATCAATTCATAACCGGCTCCAAAATTTTCAACCAACACAGAATTTTCTGAGTCAGAAATCTAAATTGACATTTTCAAGTTCTAAATTGATTTAATCTACCAGATTTCAATTCCAATTTTTATAAATGTGCAAATATTTAAAATAATCGATTCAAATATCCCAAAATTAATATTCCCATATTTATATTCTATATTTAAAAAAATTTTTAAAATCCAATTGTGGTTCAAGGGTTTTGCCTTAAAAGTCTTTGTAAGTCAATTTTAAAACAACTTTGACTATTCACATAAAATTTCCCCCACCCTCCACCCCGCGGTTTTATATATTAAATTTGGAGAAATATATTTACGCATATCAGATGTAAAATTGGTTTCAAAAAAGGTTCAGCACCCGAAGACTGATATGTGACGGCAATCTGTGATATTTTCGTCAAAAGAAGACCGAGGACGAGATCCGAAATTCGAAGTAATCACATAATCTGCCTTATTGTATGCCATGCGGTATACAATATGGATATTGAAACTTATCCGACCTCCGTTGTTACTGCTATTTTAAATCCAATAATAAAAAATACAATTACCCACCTCGGTATAAACTATTGTCACACAGTTTTATAAAAAAACTAGGAAGCTCAATAAGTAAAAATTAATAAAACATTAATAAAAATGAATTGTAATTAAAATATTAAATAATTTTAAACGTTTTACGTGTAGAGGTCGGTACGTTGTTACAAAATGAATAATTCATTAAGAAATAAACTATTCAAATAATTTTCTGATTTTGTTGCATTCTTCTTCGTCAATCATTTTCCATCTTAAATATATTCATAAATCAAAAAACTTAAATTCCTTATTAACATATTGATTGGATATCGTGAATTGTAATACACTTTTTTATTTTCTAGCATAAAAAATTATATTCAAAATAAAGATAATCTAATGTATAAAATTCATAATAAGGCTTATAAAACTTAAGTAGGTATTTAAAAATAAAAAACGAAAGAATGATAAATCAATAAATCAGCAAAATGTTCTTATAGAAAAATATATATATTTTTCTGAGCTCAAGTATAATAGTTTCAAGAGCATGAAATCTCTATACAACTATTTTGTAATTTACATGTATAAGTATAAAATGTAAAATAAATCAAAAAATCTAAAAAATATAAAAAAAATCACGTACAAAAATACATTTTTTTCTAGGTTATCTTAAGAGATTCATTATGTGAATCTTATAAAATATTGAAATAATCTTGTGGTTAATTCCAATAACATTAAAAATACAGAAAATAAAATAAAAAAATATGAAAACCAAATAAATATCAATTTGGAAAATTGATTTTTGCAATTAAAGAAAATTCTAAAATTTTATTAACTACCCAATTTAATGAAAAATATCGAATCGAATAATATTTGTGTTAAAGAATCCAAAATAAAGTAAATACAAATATTATTTTTTTACTTTTCATTTTAAAAAAAATTTAAAAAAAAAAAATATATAATTATAATTAAATGAAATGCAATGTAATTTTCATAAAAATAGAACTTGAACTTTTAATTGGAAAAAAAGTCCAGACGTTATTAATAAATTTTTATGTTTAGTTGATTTTACAATTTATTTATTTTGTATGTTTAATTAATTGTTATTTATTATTTATGTAGTTCTTTTCAATTAAATTTTACTTTATGTACATTGCAATATAGTAATTTTATCAATTTTGTTATTAATAAATAAACAAGATTTAAATTAGGAAATTTTTATATGTAAATTGAATTTTAACACTTGTTATTTACTTAAAAAATTTTGCTGAAACTGAAATATTTTCAAAAATTTTTTTTAGTATGAGCGTAATTTAAACAATTTCAATAAGCATAGCTAAATGAACTTGCTAAAAATTTCAGATCTTAAATATTTAAATTCATAAAACCATGAAATAAATCATTGAAGATTGCAAATTTAAAACATGTTCTTTATAAATTATTTTAATTTGAATTGATTTCACATCAGAAACTCCAATACTATCCGAGACACTATATTAAACTACTCCAACTTATAGGCACTATGAAATTCCAATTCAGAATTCTTACAAATCATTGATACAAATCATTTGGTAAATTTACACCTTTCAAATTATTAAAAGCCACTCAAGTGTTATTTAGATAACAACGTTATTTATTTTGATGTAATTTCCAAATTTTTGTGTATTTCATATACATATATATATCCTTCTCATCCTTATATGCGTTTGTTTTTGTTTATGTAACGATTGTATCCTTAAAATGCGGTAATTTTTACATCAATGAACTTTCTTATTAGCTTTCACTAAATTCAAAATAATTTCTTCCCAGCACTAATTAATATCAAAAGTTATGATGGATCCCATTAATTTCATCATTTATTTCAATAATCTTCACTTTTATCATTTCCTCTTTGAAATACATTTTCATATTAAATTATTCTCCTTTAGAAAAATATTTTAAAAAAAAAAATCTCGTTTGTTAAGATTTCTAAATTTTTTTTTTCTCTAAGTAGGTACATACTTATATCTTGTGTATAAAAAAAATTTCTTTTTAATTTAACCTTCAATATAAAAATTAAAAATAAAGAGAAATTTTATTACAATAATGTCACAAAAAAAAAAGTATTTCGGATAAAAATAGCACAAAGATTAATCTTATCAGTAGAAAAACCCCTCGCGATTTTTTTCTGTTTTTCTTGGGTAAAATCCTTCTTAATTTTATTTCCAGTTAAAAATTCAAATTTATTTTTAGAGATAAAATGGTTTACCCTTATTAGTGACTAAATAAATTTAGAGAGCGAACTTAATTATTTTGTCTTCATAGAAGAATTCACAAAGAACTACTGATTGTATGTATGAGATATTTAAGCAATATGCAATGTTATGTTTTTGATTGGAGGAACTGAAGTAGAATAAATTTTTTTTAAAGCTCAAAATAAACCTCTTTCAGATATACAAGGCACTCTATTATAATGTATGTCTATAAAATCTACATACTTATGTATGTATATAAAAGAGTATCACTTGAATATATTTAGTTTTAACTATTGATTTTTTTTCTACTAGCTATAGTTGAAAATTTTTTCTAATTTTTATTTCTTGTTAATTTTTTTAAGCGAAACTAAATTAGAACAACCAGGGTAACACTAACATGAATATTCTCTACTGAAAAATCATTGCATGGTTAGTAAGTTTTACTTAAGCAAAATGTAAAAATTTATAATCCAATATTAATTTTTAATTCTCTAAAATTAAAGAATTTTTATTTTCATTAATTTTACTTACATTTTTGAGCGGTAAAATAATTTTGCCCAATCTACTTCTTTCCTCTAATATTTTGGAACTTTTTTGGTTGCTTTTATTCAATAAGTTATTTAAGTACTTCTTCACTTAAGAACAGATTTCACATTTAAAATAATTTTTCATATTAATTTCATTAAAATATTTAAAATTTTCAATAATATTAAGAAAATTTTATAAACGTTTTTAGTTTTTTTACTTTTTTTTAACAAATCACAACAATTCCAAAATAAAAATGACAACTACTTATTGAATGACAAATGACATTTACTGACAATATATGACAACTGCTGTAAGGGATGAGAAAATTATATATGATATGGGAACGTTCAGAAAATATTCCTTATTTCAGTTATGACAACATTCAGGGATGTTGAAAATTTTTTAAATTTGTTTTTTGAAAAATTAAATTTTTTTTTGGAAAACTTTTGTTATTTTTTTAAATATTTCATTCAAATAAAATTTTATAGATATTTTATTCAATTTCTCGCTTAGTTTGCCACGAAAATATTTTTTGCCTTTTTAAATGGAATGAAACTGAATTAAAAATAAATTAATTCTCAAACTGGAAATCGAAAGATGGTTTTTGAAAGCTTCAAAATTCAGAATATTTGTATGTATATGTATGTATGTACGAAATTTTAACATTCGAATATATTCAACATTAAAAGCAAGTGTTATAGCCTGAGAAGAAAATTAAGAATATTAAAGAAATATAACCAATCATAGAAGTATAATTATTTTATTTTTGAATAGTTCGAATATTCACCAAATGAACAATATGTAAATATACTTAGCTATTTATTTTAAATTTTTGGTTCATTTAAAAAAAATTCTGTTTCACAAATATCCATTTCAGCTTCGAAACAATTAGTGGTTTAAAATGTTGAAAGTTTGCAATTCTTCTCTTATGGTTTGAGCTGCTGATTCGTTGTTTTAGTTCCTTTAAAAATGTTACCACTGTTGCATTAAGGGGTTCTTTCATTGTTCCCCATACATAGGAATCCACAATCATATGATCTGGTGGTCTTGCCGTTCAATGTATGGACCCGTTTCGACCAATCCAACAACGTTATGTTAGGAAATTCGCTATTCGAAAAATCGTAACTATTCGCGTTCGCCATACCCATACGATTCTTTTTCTAAAAATCTGAACTCCCCGAGCGCGTTTACACCAGAACTGGTCTACCCTTTAGAAATAGGTACGTTATTATATCCTATATTTTTCGCTTTTCTCCCAATATCTATGTACATATCTTCTATCTTTCAACTAATTAATTGAAAATTCAATTTTAAATGAAATGCGCTCTACCCTTGTTTTTATTATAAAGTATTTTTTAATCAGCAAAAAATTTCCCCTTATTTTATTATTCCTGGCTCTTTGGAATTTCACTATTTCAGATACATACATACATATGTATGTATATCTGTATCAATTACTGTATTCTATTATGTAAATATTAATTGATTCAACATTTTTATTTTTACACCACATTTATAATCTTTTTGCACATATAACACTTCAAAACTTTTATTACAAAAGAAATGCAACTGACATCTTTATTAATTTCTATAAATTTTTGACTCTCTTCATTATTGATAATTTTAACGCATTGAAATTTTTATAATCCTATTTAAAATTATTATGTATTTATTATTTACAAGCTGTAAAAAAACTTAACTATAATGAAATCACCACCAACCATACGCTTTGACACATTTTTCTTCTTAACTTATCATACATTTTTATCAAATAACAAATTCTAGATTTTTTCATAAGAAATAAGCTCCTTTTTAAGAAAATTTTATTTAAGTTTTTGTTGTTAGTACGTTATATGAAAACGAAAATTTCTGCATATCTTACTCCAATAAATATGCAACATTAATCTACGAAAATCATTCTAATTCCTCACTCCCTCTTGTCTGTCTTCCTCTTTTCAACTGTGTCTCTTTCAGTTCTCGCGTTTTAATCAGAATAAATTAATTCTGATTAAAACGCGAGAACTGGAACTACTTTGAATTCTGATGTAATCTGGGATAAGTTTTTCAATTGTTTTTTATTAAAGCTCGATTGTAAGAATTTTGTAGTGCAATATGAAAATTAAACGTTCGTAATCGAATATTAACGAATTACTGTTCCAATCAATTTTGTTTTTAAAGAAGTTTTTCTTCGAATTAATTAAGAATCCCTAGGAGCAAATGAAATAACAGCTTCGTTAAGCTCAAGTTTATATTCAATAAGTGCTTTTACATGCGATAACACTACCCATACTAATTTTAAAGATAACAAACTTACATATACTTTTTCCCGAACCCAATAAATTAATGATCTGAATCGAAATTTTTAATATAAATAAAAAAATATATAATTACAATGTAAATTACACGTAACATACATAATTAATAATTTCAATCAATTGGAACAACAATTTTACAGTGTTTTTAAAACAATATACTCGATGACATCCATATTTCAACTGTGTTATTATTTGTGTGTATGAGTATTGTGGAAATAACTAATAAACGTGGGACGTTAATTTTCCCTTTTTTGTGTTTTTCAGATTTTATATGCCGATTAATTTTCTTTTTTTGTATTTACATCTCAAACCTTAAATAGCTATATTTACATATTATGAGAATCCAAATATTCGATTGAATCAACAAAATACATGATTTTATACGTTCACACGTACACACATACATATTTTAATGGGAAGGATGAAAATAAATAAATAAATAATGTTGAAAAAATTTGTAAAACGGATGCATAGATTTTTTATATATTTACACAAAAAACCACTTGAATGTCACATTCACTTGTGCATTTCTCAGTTTTCACTATAAAACTGCGATTAATTTTTAATTGTTGTCCTCTGAAGAAAAAAATAAAAATGTTTTTTTCTTCTTATATTTTTTTTTTCCTTCAAGACCAGCTGCTGGGGGTTATTGAAAGAAGAGAAAAAAAATTAACCACACAATATGGTTAGTGTGATTAAAATGACAAAAGTCAAAATCATTAAATTTTTATTTTCTTATTCTCTCGCAAGTATGATGGGTAAAGGGTAACAAAAGTATAAAAGTATCTATAATATTTTTATTGAGAAAAACAATGGTATAACTCTAAAAACTTAAATTTTTACCAGATGCGTTATTCAGTGCTTTGAAAAATTTTCTTTCAGTAACTTGCAAACTTCAAACATAAGATTATTGTTAAAGGAAAGTTTCTATTTCATTATTTGGTGCCACGAGTAGCTAGGAAAAAAGTTAACTGGGTGATCTGGTATCAGAAAGACTAACTTCGCGGAAGCTAAAACACCCCTCGGAAACTGACTGAGCAAGGGTCATATAAAACTACTGGATGAGAGCAGGATGAGACTTAGTGAATAAGATAAGTTTTAACTCGCTATTTGAAGACCATTGAGATTCTCTTTATTTCTGGCCTCCCTTTGGACCTCTTCGGTATAGTTGACCCAGCCTGACATTGCTATTGCAGAGTTCGTTGGTCTTATTTAAGCTGCCTCGAAAACATATGATAGAATAATTTTATTACAAAAATTTTATGTACCAATATGCTAAATAAAATTTTGACATTATCGCACAGTAGAAGAACAACTCAAAGCAATGTAAACATAGACAATCGATTCATGAATTACGAAATTTTGTTAGTAAATGGATTTAGAAAAATTTTCAATTTTCTAACCCATCTAACTCAGAAACCCCATTTTTTTGATTTATGCCTTTTTTCTCGTTAAAGGATTATGTACACATATTTATATAAGTACATTTATTGTATATATGATTATATACATACATAATATACTTATTTGTTCTTTGTATATTTGATTTTATCACGCACGTTTATTTAACAACAATTTGCCTTGAATGAAAATAGCTGTTCTTATAAGACGCTGTCCATAAGTACTATGTTTGACATTACGTTTTCTACACACATGTAAACATAATATTATATAAATGTACCAATTTAACACACAAAGATGCCATCTATGATATATTTGGTTGATACCACATAACTACATAAATAAAAAAAATAAGCAATTTGAATGAATGGAGAAATATTCAAAAATATAAAAATAAAAATGGGAAAAGATTTAGAAATATTGATTTAATATTAAAAATTTACGAATCAAGTGATTTTATTTATTCAAAATTTTGCTAGGAAAACAGCAACAAAAAAAATGCAAAATTTTGCTATAGAAGAAGCCCTGGACTTATAACATATAAAAGGTAGAATGAAGAACCGCATGCATCCCCACCTTCCCTCTCGTTGAGGCTTTAAAATTTATTTGAATTATATTTTTCTTTTTAAGGAAATAAAATATAATATACTATGTTGTCAAATGTACGTTTGTATGTAAGTATAATATTCTTAAATGTGTGTTTGATAGGTAGGGTATGTCCTTAATGTACTTACACAAACATACATACATATATTTTTGATTTATGATATCAAATTTCTTATTTGCTTTTAAATCTTTATTTGCTTTTACTTTTTAAAGAGAAAATAGCAAAAAAAGAAATTTAAGTATAAAGTTTTTCCATTGAAAAAATAATAAAGTATAGAAAAAAAAAATATTGTCAATGATTTGTCAATCGGAAGAACAAATCGAAAATTGAATTAAATTTAAAATGTTTGTTGCCTTAAAAAAGTTTTTTTTTTTTCTTTTGAAATCAAAAATTGATTTTACTTTTTAAAATATTAGGCATTATTTACTTTTTGGATCCAAAGTAAAAAACAAAGTTAAATTAAATTTTAGTAAAGTTTTTATTACAAGAAAAGTTTTCAAGCTATTTATTTATTTTTGGCTTTTTTCTTTTTGCCTTTTCTATATCATATAAGAAGTATTTATAAACATAATTTATATTTAATTTTTTAATTTTATATAAATAAAATAGTTTTCCAATCAAATATTTATATATTGAAAATTCTTATATATATAGGATCAAATTCAAAATTGGCTTAAATATCATATAGACCATTAATATAGACAAAACAAAGTGCATGCATAATTTTCAAAACAAGAAACCAGTTGTATTACACTTGAAGATTGATTCAAACGAATTGGAAATTGTACCATGTTGTAAATATCTAGAAGTAATATTAGA